CAGTATGGCTTCCAGTGTCTCTTATTATATATATATATATATATATATATATATATAAAAATCAAAATAAATTGCATGCAATACAGTATATATACACTTTGCAGTAAGCAGTAGTCTAGTATTAGAAACAACTCCTGTCTACTTGTCAGCCATGTGTTTCTGCTGGTTCACCACAAGAGGTCAGAACACTGCAGGGGGGTATTCCAGAAAGCAGGTTATGTGACATATCCGGGTATGTTTGAGGACAAGCCAGCGGATAACCTCAGCTTTCGGTTCCAAAATCGGAGGTTAATTTCAGGGCATCTGACAGATAGTGCACAACATTATATAATATTACAATGTGTAATATAGCTTATTATATATATTTGTATGATATGTTAATGATGAAACGCTAATGTAAGTAATAAATAAGGTAATATATTATTCTAATATGGTTATTATATTTATTTTATTGGCATAAATAACAATTATCTGTAAAAATTATAAAACACTATGACAAGGTAATGTTTAATTTATTATATTATATATATTTATTTATTACATTTTATATTATCTTCTCACACATGGATCGCCATTTTCTATAATGTCTAAATTCTAAATCAAAATACTTATCTGATATGACTTAATATATAATTAGCATCAAACAAACAATATAATTCATATTCTCAAGGATTAAAGATTAAACGGGAAAAAAATTACAATGATTGCAAAACCATCAATTAGGTGGCGATATGCACGAAGCATGTAAACGACCATTGAACAAAAGAAGAAGAAAGAAACAAAGCGTCCGTTTCCATAGCGACTCGTCGATTCGTCGCTCTGTCTTGAGTCTTAATACATATACACATACCTCGAGTAAGCAAGGTTTGGGGTTAATAAACCAAAAGTTCAGGGTTTAGCTGACGCCAAGTTAACCGTGCTTTCTGGAACACACCCCAGCTTAGATTCAGTGTTTTTGTAAGCCATCATTTCCATATTGAAGCATTATTAATCAACACGCTGTTGTGGAGCATGTGAATGATGTTTCTGTACCTCTGCATCCAGACACGGCGTCGCCCGGCTCCGTGTAAATACTGTCCTCACACTCCGAGAAGCTCTACAGAGTCAAAAAATCACGATTCATATATGTGACCCTGGAGCACAAAAGCAGTCTTAAGTCGCTGGGGTATATTTGTAGCAATAGCCAGCAATACATTGTATGGGTCACAATTATAGATTTTTCTTTTATGCCAAAAATCATTAGGATATTAAGTAAAGATCATGTTCAAATTGACACTTAAGACTGGTTTTGTGCTCCAGGGTCACATATTTCATTTATATTTATATATATACACTGTAGTAGCAATAATCCTTTATGATGCTTTCTAGCAAAGAACTGACTCTTCGAGTCTTCAAGTTTCAACGGTTTACTGAAAGTTTCCGCACAATACAGATAAACCGGTCAAAAACTTGCTCCATCTTTCTGACACTCTTAAAAGAAACAGCAATTCTTAAAAGCGCTTGAGAAAAAAGTCCAATAGTAAAGAGACAACATAAACCTAGTCATACTGAAACATTTATGCATTTAGTGTTACATTTTTAATTACACAGATGATGGCTCTTAACTGAATGTGCTTTTGTTTTCCAGTGAAGTAAGAAAGTCTCACATATCAGGGAGTAAATGACGCACCTTCTGTCGGGGCCCGTAGTTCTCAGCGAACCAGACCATCCCATACAGACACAGGAACGTGATGAAAGCCTTCAGACACAAACACACCATCACTTCCACACGCAAACACTCACGCAAACACTACACCGAGACAGTCAGACCGCAGGGACTCACCAAACACAGGAGCCACAACACCACATACAAAACCTGTGTCTTGGAAAACAAGTCTTGTCCGAATTTAATGCACGCCAAGGCCTCCAGGAAAGCGATCGCTCTGAACGACAGAAAAACAGAGATTCGGAAAAAACTGACATTGGGATATTTCATTTTTCCGCAATACATAATGCAATGAAATTTCCCCAGATGACTTGAATAGCTATATTTGGAAAGACTGAATCATTCTAGAGTCAGTTGCAGAGTGCATCTGCATAAAAAATAATGATTAAAAAATGCAAAAAAAAAAATTAAAAAAAATGCAGGAATCTTTTAGGCCTTCATAGGCCTATAAAATAATAAAATACTTTAAAATAATAATGATCATCGTGATTTTATTGTGATTATTATGAAACAAGAATATTGAGCAAAATAAAAATATATCAAAATAATACTGTAAAAAATAATAATAATGCAAATAATTTTATTTTACTGTAAAGTTACTAAAAATAACTTCCTTAATACTGCAATAAAAAAAAATTCAAACTCTAAACCATCAAGCTTTTATTTTGAAGGGTTGCCAGCAAATAAAATATTCAGAGTGAAACCACTGGCGCAAATGTGTTAAATTAAATCACAGACTGCGTGATCTGACAACTGAACTAAGCAATATCAATTTTATTTTGATATATAGTGCAACCCTACTTTTTATTAGACTTTTTATTAATTGTGCAACATAAAACCAAAGGATGATAGACGAAGTCTAGATTATTTTAAGTTAGTATTTCTATAATTTAACAACACATTTGCATGTTTACAGTTCTATGATATTAATCATGATGATTACAGTTCTACGATAATTAATGACATGCAGGTAAACAAATATGTATAATATTTTTAGTGAGTGTTTTATTTTAAGTGTTATAAATTTTAAAAATATATATGAATGCTGCACAGTGTTCAAACTTGCATGACAAACTAATATTTAATATATAATAATTAGTGCTGTTTAATCGTGATTAAACGCATCTAAAATAAAAGTATTTGTTTACATAATATATGTGTGTACGGAGTATATTTATTACGTATATATAAATAGACACACATGCATGCATATATATATTTAAGGAAAATGTTATGTTTATATATTAAATATTTATATATAAATTTAATTATATGCATGTAAATACATGTAGATATTTTCTAAATATGTGTGCATTTATATATATACATAATAAATATACATATATTATGTAAACAAAAACTTTTATTTTGAATGCGATTAATCGTTTGACAGCACTAGTAATAATTTATATAATTATACTCCTGATTGTATTCATCAGAGTGAAGCCGCATATATTCATTTCATTAAATCTCATATGCATTTGACAAATGCACTGAGCAATATCAGTTTTGTTTCAATATACCGTGCAGCTCTGGATTTTAATTGTGCAAATGAAGCTGAAGGATGTTAGATAAAGTCTAGATGATGTACCCTAGATGTTAGGCACAAGAGAAGTCAAATCTAGGTCATCGTGTTAGTTCATATCTGAGACGAGGCAGATTACAACACAGCTCCAGGTTCCCACGAGAAGCGCTCCGACTCACCCAAACACCCAGCACTGAGTCCCGACCCGCTTGCACTGTGTGTCCGTCAGATACACGTAATACTGCCTAAACATCAGAGCACAGGAGCATCAGATCACATCAGTCCAACACACGCTCTGGGGTCTTCAACAGTGCATGTCTGTCAGTGAACAATACTTACTTGAAGACCCTGAGATCAATTTCAGTAATTTAACAACACATTTGCATATTTCTCTGACATTATTTAATGGTCACATGACATGCAAGTAAACAAATAATGTTTTTTTGGTGTTTTATTTTGACTTAATTTTTTTATTTTTATATTATTATTTTTTATATGTTTATATTGCATTTTCATCCCACGCACCTAGAAATGATTCAGGTTACATTTTATTTATTTAAATTTTATCATAATTAAAATATTAATTTAAATTAAATTAAATTAAATTAATTAATTTAATTATAATTAAATTAATTAAATTTAATTAAATGTAATACATTTAATTATAATTAAATTAATTTGATCAGTTTTTGTTACATTTTTTATCAATTTTAATTTTACATTTTCATTATTTAATTAGGCTAATGATTCAGGTGTGTGGGCATTACATTTTTATTGGATTGTTTTTATATTATTATTTTGTTATCAGTTTTTAAGTTACTTTTTAATTTTAATTTGACATTTTTATGATTTAATTAATGATTCAGGTGTGCAGAAATTAAATTTTTATTGGATTGTTTTTATATTATTATTTATTTAAAAAAAATGTTATCAGTTTTTAAGTTACTTTTTAATTTTAATTTGATATTTTTATGATTTAATTAATGATTCAGGTGTGCAGGCATTACATTTTAATTGGCTTGTTTTCATATGAATATTATTTATTTCGATTTTTATCAATTTGTGAAGTCACATTTTTAATCCATTTTAATTTTGCATTTTTATGATTTAATTAATGATCGAGGTGTGCGGGCATTACATTTTCATTCGATTGTTTTATATTAAAATGATTCAGGTTACATTTTTGATTGGATTGTTTTTACATGAATATTATTTATTTTAATTTGATCCATTTTTGTGTTACATTTTTAATCGATTTTAACTTTACATTATGATTTAATTAATGATTCAGGCATCACATTTTTATTTGATTGTTTTTATATTAATGAATTAATTTTACTTTTTACCATTTTTAGTCCATTCTAAAATTAAATTACATTTTAATGAGCTGCAAATGTCATTTAGTTCTATTTTGCACTAAATAAAAGTCTAAAACGTGTGTTCTTCACGTACCGTACAGTAGGAGCCGTGATGATCCCGATGAACAGGATCCGGCACCAGCTGAGAGCGTGGCATGCTGGGAACACGAAGATGTGCTTCAGGAAGAACGTGTTCAGCTCCGTCAGCTTCAGTCAGAGAGACAGAGGAGATCAACCAATCAACCAAAACAACACACTCAAGCTAAAACTAAACTGATCCTGAAGAACACAGATTTAATACAGTTTTATGCAGTAAAGAACTCATTTGAAAGAATCTGTTAACAGATTAGTTTGCATTTTGGTGCGACTGTTTTAATGCTTTGATTGAACTTTAATAATCGACTGAATTTTTTAAAAAATGTAATAATTTATTACAATTTCAAAAAGTGTTATTTTAATATCATTTAAATATTATTATATTTTATTTTTAATATTTTAAATCATATTTTATTTTTTCTGATTTCAAGCAAATTTTAGTTTAGTAGTTTTGTTGTTTTAGTTTCATTTTTATTAGTTCTTAAATACGTTTTTATTATTTTCCATTTCAGTTTTAGTTTAAGTTATTTTAGTACATCAAGTTAAACTTAAGTTAAAAGACGTTGAGCAAGTCGCTCAGTTTAGCAAACTAGCTAAAATAAAATGTTTTTTATATTTTAACTGAAGTAAACATTTGTATTATTTACATTTAAGTAACGAAAATGTTATTGAAATGATTTTAATTTACACCTACAAATATTATTTGTATAGAGGTTTTTACAGTACACAGCTTTACAGAAAATCATGTTGATGTTTATATTAATTTATAGCACATCACACATGTTGCTCTGTTTTTATAACCTGACCTACTTAAAATAAGGCAAATGATCTAAAAACCTAAAAAGCAAGCAGAATGGAAATATTACTACTTCTTCAAAGCCACATTTGTGTGAAATCCCATATTTAGCCTCAAAATCCAGTGAAACTGCTTGAGATTGTGCTTCAGTCACAGTATTGTCAGACATTTAACTACTGTTTAAAGGGCCCTCAGTAGGGAGCGAGGGGACCGGCCTTTCATCGCCGTGGAAACGGCTCGGGGGCGGAGCCTATTCGCTCAGGAGAACTCATGTGACCCGCACCTCTGAACTAGTTAGAGCTGGTTAAACTAGTTATTTTTTATGCTGACAATAAAAAACAACAATAAAAACACTGACTAATAAAGACTGTTATAGTTAACTCAAGTAGTTTTAATTATTTTATAAATTGGATTATCATTAATAATTGGATTAATAAAATGTATTTAATTAATTGTAACACTTTACAATAAGGTACCATTAGTTAATGATAGTCATGTGTTACAGTATTTATTAATCTTTGTTAACATTGTTAATAAAAACACAACTGTTTATTGTTAGTTAATGTCAGCTCAGGTCCTTTAAATAAAATGAACAACTTTCAGTTTTAATCATTTATTCAGTAAATGTTGAAATTAACATTAACATAAGATTAATAAATGCTTTAGAAGCATTTTTATTGTGTTATGTAGTTAGCTAATGTTAACAAATGGAAACTTATTGTAAAGTGTTACCAAATTAATTATATTTATCAATATTTCTCACTATATAATTTGGAGACAGACTCCACCCCCCAGAAAAAATAAAATAATAAAATACAAAGACAAAGTGAGAAATATTCATAAACTGGCATTTAATTAAATGTATTTATCAATATTTCTCACCATATAATTTGGAGACAGACTAAACAAAAGATGAAAGATGAAGTCAAAAATATGAACAAATTGGTTTTTTATTTAATTAATTAATTAATTTGTGTGCATACATATATATATATATATACACATGCACTATACTGTATATACAATTATGAGAAAGATAATTAATACATTATATAAAACAGACTAAAAGAAATCAATTTTTAATTATGGTTTTGTAAAATATGAACAAATTGGTTTTTTATTTAATTAATTAATTTGTGTGCATACATATATATATATATATATACACATGCACTATACTGTATATACAATTATGAGAAAGATAATTAATACATTATATAAAACAGACTAAAAGAAATCAATTTTTAATTATGGTTTTGTTCTTCACAGTGCATTCTGGGATTGCTAAACTAACTAGGATTTGAACCAAACCTAAAATGAGAGCAATTATTTGATTAATTATATATATAAGTCACTCTCATTAAAAGTCAATGAAAATGCCCTATAAAACCCAATGCATTTTTTTATTTTTTATTCCATGCTTTCTGTTGGAATCTGGTTCGATTAAACTAATCAATTGAATTCAGAAAACTTTAACAACTTAGTGCCCCCCTGAAGTGTTATTTTTCAGCGCTGGCTGATAGAGAAGTGAATGCACGGACCTGCCAGATGATCATGAACAGATAGACTCCCGTCACTCTCTGTAAGGAGGACTTGGGGTCGAGCCAGCGCACGTATGTCCAGCTGGCAGGAGTGAACTGCAGCGCTGCACGCTTGATCTTCCCCGTGGTGCTGTGGATGTCTCTGTGCGGCACAAACACACTCGTTCAGCTCGGTCAGTCTCTGCCAGACGCTCTCAGAAGCCAGTGTTTGAGGGGTTTCTTACTTGATGCTGGCCCAGTGATACGTGCGCATCTCCAGGAAGCGGCAGGCGGTCATTCCCAGCCAGATCCCTCCGCCGTTACACAGCAGGATATCCAGGATGACCTGATCCCACCAGCACTCCGCGAAATTCGGAAGAAGATGCATGAAGAACAGCTGCGCCCAGAGATTTACTTGCCATTAGCATGCTTCTAATAAACAGTGTGAAGCTGGAATTAAAGCAATAAGCCCCGTGGTGGATTTATAACAGCTAAGGGGCGGTGTTCGGTACGACGTGAAGCGGCTGTTATAAATTCACTGTAAACCACGGCTTCACAGGGATTATGGCTTTTATAAAACGGTTATTCCATATACGTAGTAAGGTTTCACAGAATAAAACAGAGCAAATAAAGTGTGATGATATTAATAAAAACAGTATTCTTCCACCAAACAATGTAGCTCCTCAGAAACAGTTGTGGTTGTTACAAAGTGGTTGCCGAGCAACACACAGACGTAAACAAAGGTGTATGTTACTTTGTAGAGTCATTTACAACAGCTTCGAACGCGGCTCAGCCAATCAGAATCAAGCACCGGAACTCTCCGTTTTATAAAAGTCATTTTTAAGGCATTAACGCAAGTAGTTTTGACTATTTAATTGCATTTAATTTATGTAATTATTGTAATTAATATGAATTATTCATTGTCATTTAGTTAATTATTTTATCAATATTTCTCACTACATTTGAAAACAGACTCAATATAAAAAGAAACATCTAAAATGAAGATGAATTCTGACTTCGTCCTACATTTTAAAATCATTGTTTGTTTGTTTTTTAGTATTTCACAGTGCATTCTGGGATTGCTAAACTAGGTTTTGAACCAATACTAAAATAAAATTATTTGGAGCCAGATGCTGAACAATATCTTTATTTCCATTTTAATTTTTCTGTATTTAGTTTTAAAGTTTATTTAATTTTAATAATCAAAAATCATGACTAAGCAATTAATTCCATGAACTTTAAGAATGTAATATTATTATTACAATAATAAATAAATAATAATAATAAAATTTCAACAATAGAGCCCAATGAAAGGCGTTTCATTATTTACACACACACTAATATATATATATATAGAGAGCGAGAGAGAGAGAGAGAGAGAGAGAGAGAGAGAGAGAGAGAGAATCTTAGATTTCTATAGAGATTATTAGATTTATATATTTATATTTAGAAATTCTAAATAAATTCTAAATATATCATTCTAATTGTTGTTGGTTTTAATATTTAATTTAATTAATTTTAACAATAAATGTAATAAATTAATTTAATTTAAAAGGTTTTAATCATTTTGTTGTGTTTTTGTCTTTTTTAATATGTCTATATAGTTCCCTTTATTATTTTATTTCAGTTCGGTTTTATTTCAGTTTTAGCTTTTAGTTATTTTAGTAGATCAAGTTAAACGAAATTTTTAAAATGATTTTTTTAATTGTTTTTTACATTTCTGCTAATTATTTAATTTCAAGTAAATTCTTTGTTGTCCATTTTAATTTGTCTGCATTTTGTGTGTTTTAGTATTTAATATACATTTATTATCAAAAAGAGTGCAATCAAAATAATGCATGAAACATTTAACAATTTATTCAATCTTTTTAAATGCAATCAAATTAAATGTAACAATTCCTTTTATTTTCCGGCAAACATAATCGAGCGGTCATTAGCTGTGAAACATCATATACAGTCTTCTATGAATGCATGAATCAGTAGCTATGTTTCCATCACACTATTTTAATGCGCATTTTGAAGTATTGCATGAGAAACGAGTGATGGAAACGCCAAACTTCGATTAAAAATCCCTTAATTCGCAAAATAGTTTTCATGCTCGCTTGAGGTGGTTTTTGACTTGTGCGAAAAAAGGGTTGATGCAAATAATGGGAGACGGAAATGCATTTTGCGAATAAATTCCTCCAAGCGCATCAAAAAAGCCACGTGACTTTGTGCTATGGGACGGCAAAACCTGACTAACCAGCGGACCGATCTCATTCCACATAAGGCCGTCGCGATAACCGCAATATCGCAACACCGCGCTATTGACAAGCAAACCGTAGAGGAATGCAAGAACCGCTATTTTTGCGTGTTTTCTTTTTTCGTAAGGTTATGCCCTTCTCGTTTTACACTTCATGCATGTGGACTGAATATTAAACAAGTTAGTAATGATAACATAATGTGTACCATGCTGATTTGTACAGAGGCTTCGTAGAAATTGCCTAAACAGACAGTGAATGAGAGAGAGATCGACTGAGCGCGTGCGATTACTTGCGTCTGTCCTCCAGGCAGAGTCATATATATTTGTGAAAATAGGTTGTCATGTCCAAGGAAAGCGAAATCTCTGTCTTAGCATCGACGCATAGCTGGTCAGCTGAGCCTTCTAAAGTGGCGCTCAAAGTAAAAAGTGATTTCAACAGCGTGTTTCATTTAGTGATGGGTCGTTCTTGAATGATTCGTTCATTTTGAACGAATCTTTAATGTGACTCGGGAAGAACGAGTCGTCTCGGGGTGTGATTCGTTCAGTCGCGCATGCGCAACATCCTATAGGTTCTGTACTGGAATTAGTCAAGTAGTTCACCTGGTTCGAGTCTTCGGGGTTTTCCGAGTCATTCGTTCATCACGTGACAGCCCCATAAGCTTTAACCAATGCAGTCTGAGCCGGAAAGAGACTTAATAATAATAACCAACTCTTTGTTACCTTTGTTACAACATTCAGTGTTATGGAAAAGAACCATAATGACAGAAATTCACACATTTATAAACCATAAGAAGTAAAAAGCTACAATTTGAGACCAGAAAGTATAATTGCCTCCCAGACATGTCTTACACGACTGCGTTCCCAAACAGCAGCATCCACCTTCGAAAGCAATGAGCGCATTTACTGTTTCGTCTGCTTGCTCTGAGGAGCAAGTAATTTATTATGTGTGACTCTAGAGCACAAAAGCAGTCTTAAGTCACTGGGGTATATTTGTAGCAATAGCCAACAATACACTGTATGGGTCAAAATTATCTATTTTTCATTTATGCCAAAAATCATTAGGATATTAAGTAAAGATCATGTTCCATGAAGATATTTTGCAAATTTCTTACCGTAAATATATCAAAACTTAATTTTTGATTAGTAATATGCATTGCTAAGAACTTAATTTGAACAACTTTAAAGATGATTTTCTCAATATTTAGATTTTTTTGCACCCTCAGATTCCAGATTTTCAAATAGTTGTATCTCAGCCAAATATTGTCCTATCCTAACAAATTTATTCACCTTATTTATTCAGCTTTCAGATGATGTATAAATCTCAATTTAAAAAAATTGACACTTATGACTGGTTTTGTGCTCCAGGGTCACATATATGAAAATTACTATATTATATATTTTTATATGCTCCTACTTTTCTTAGTGATTTATAGTTGCAGTTTATCAGGAAGTGACTATTTTGTTCTCGTGACTCGTTGGATGGAAACGATGCTTGTTCGCAAATGTTTTATGCGATATTCCAGTTTTGTGCATAAGCTAAATTCGCAACTTTGGATGGACACCCGGCTAGTGTGTCGCTCTCGCTGTAACCGGGTTCATGCTGTAAGCGAGGTGTTTTACCTCGGTCAGCTCCCAGGTGATGCTGATAGTCCAGCACAGGCCATAGCTGCGGATCAGCAGAGCCTTCATTCCCCAGCCCCAGAAATGACTGAAGGCGAAGATGTCGAAGTGGCTGAGGATTCGCTCCCAGGTGATCACATGACAGTTGACGGCATACTCCTGTCAATCATCACCGCAACGACAGTTTAACACGTGCTTAAAGACGCTAGAGGACATCACAGGGTTAAACTGAACACAGTGCATCACTCTGAGATTTGTGATGGTGTTATTTTAGTATCATTGAGATACTATTATTAGTTTACAGTATATTTTCCTGTTTTCATTTTTACTAATTTTGCATGCTTTTGTCTTATTTATAATATGTCTATATCGCATTTATAAATTTTTATTTCAGTTTTAGTTTTAGTCAATTCAAGAATGAGGCAAGATGCCTTGGCGACTAGCTGTAATAAACTAAGTTTAATTTTTATGTTTTCAATTTGTACGCTATTTTAAATTCTTTTTTTTCTGGATACGGTTTTAATTTAATTTTAATAATCAAATGGTTCGATTCAATTTAAATAATCAAAAAACACGTATAATCAATTAAATTAATACAATTTTAATGTAATATTGATATTATTATATATATATATATATATATATTAAATTATTTTTCTAAAATTTGCCATATTTTAATTTAACTGGAGTCTAAGTGTTGTCCGTTTTAATTTTCAATTTAATTAAATAATTTTAAAATAAAATAAAAATAATTTAATTAAAGCTTAAATAATTTTGTTCTGAATTTTTGTCTTTTTTAATATGTCTGTATAGTTTTTATTAATCTTTATTTCCATTTTAGTATATCAAGTTAAAAACCAGAAATGTTTCCTTGGCAACTAGTTGAAATAAATAAGTTGATTTTTTTACAAATACTTTATTTCAGCTTATTTCATGTTTATTTTAAGTCACAAATTTTTTTTCTGGTTTTCTTTTAGCTAGCTACACTGACCCTGATTTGTGAGCTCTGGCAGAAGAAAATATTTTATGAACACAATGCATTCATGAGCTATTCCTATAACAACAGAACTGACCATGATGTCGGCTTCCCGTTTGGCGTAGCGCAGATTGGGATCCAGCCAGAACATGAGAGACTTGACCTGCTCCCAGTTCAGGAAGATGATAAAAACCAGGAAGAGGAAGTACAGCACACTCAACCCTGCACAAGCACACAAACACACCCATCAGAAACGAGAAACACATCAACCGACTAACCCAACCACTCAGACACGACCTCAGATCTGCCCTTTCATCATTTATTCATGTTTAAACCATAGACTGTATAAAAACATGGACGTAGTGTCCGTGACGTCACCCGTAGATTTCCGAAGAGCGTTTTTGAAGCTCAAAAGTGGGCGGAGCCGGCCGTCGCCATCTTGGCAGCGTGTCACCGCGCGTTACTCCCGGATAATCGAAAATGGGCAAAGAGGCGGGAGCTGGTTGCTGAAGCCACGCCCACCTAGCTCGACGGTGGTGACAGCAGCGGCAATCCACCTGTCACTCAAGTGGCCACGCCCTTAATTATGCAGAACTTTAAGGCTTAATATAATTTAAACGGATGAGTTATAAAAAAATTCAGCCCCCTCACAGTTGTCATGAAGGGCAAAATTAGCTATATAGACCAAAATCATTTTTTGAACCAGGCTGTAAACATGTTTTTTTCTGCTGTAAAGTTGGGCATTTTAACACGGGGAGTCTATGGGATTGACTCCCTTTTGCAGCCAGCCTCTAGCGGCCAGTTGATGAATTACAGTTGAAGTCACTTCCGTGTTGGCTTCACGAGAGAGAGCGGGAGGTTGCTGCTTGGTTTAAACATGCATCTGTATTACCAGACTTCCAAAATAAGCGTCTGATCCACTCACCGAACACTATACGCCATATTGCTGGATGGGGTCTTGTGAACGGACCTGAAAAAAAGGCAAAGAGGGTTATTAGTTGACATCATAGACAATAAAAAAGTATTGACAAGTATTTTTATCGTCTCGTATGACCAAATGTAAGGGCCTGCAATCACGCGGTTTGACCAGTGTGGCGCTGTAGCGCAAGACTGTACTCAGCGCTCCCACATGCAGTCCAGTAGAAGAAGATGGCGGTTATGAACGTAAACAAATGCATCGCGTCCCAATTCACCTACTCATACTATGCCCTAAAAGTATGCACTCTTTCTGTGAAGAAAAATACATACTTTTAAGTATAGTAGGCAAGCTTTGGGACATACTATTTCGTCATAACTGCAAAAAACTACAAACATGGCGGATATGCGTGACCAAAAGACAGGTAGAGAAAGGGGTTTGAGTGATAAATAATCAATATCTAACCTGTTGAAAAATTTCATGTTATCGGCATTATATTTCATCTGCAGCAACACTGTGAATTTTTATAATGATACGTTTGGTCATTAACTTTTAAATGCACCATTATTTTTGTCATTCAAAAACAGTTTTTATTTCAGTATCATCTTGGCTTCGTCTGTGAAAAAATGTCATTGATGAAACCTTACATTTACATTTAGCAGACGGTTTTATCCAAAGCGACTTACAAATGAGGACAACAGAAGCAAAATCAACAAAAGAGCAATAATAAGCAAGCGCTATAACAAGTCTCAGTAAGCTTAACGCAGTACACATAGCAAGTTTTTTTTAAATTATATAATAAATGAAAGGAAACCAGCTAGAATAGAAAAAGAATAGAGCAAGCTAGTGTTAGAGGCCTTTTTGTTAATTGTCTTTTTTTTTTGCTTTTTGTTAATTGTATAATAAATAAAAAGAAAACAAATAAATAGAATACAAAAAGAACAGAGAAGCTAGTGTTAGATTTTTTTTTATTTTGTTTTTTAAAGAAAACAAGCAGTTTGTAAATGAATAGAGTGCAAGTCTAAAAGGGGCCAGTTTTTTGTTTTTTAAAGAATAGAATTAGAATAGAGAGTGCTAGAGTTAGAGGGTCAAATAAAATTACAACGAAAATGATTTGTCAACGAAAGTAACACTGTTAGCAAACATCCCGACTGAGAGTGACGTTTAGATGAATATGGAAATACATGCTGCGTACTTATATATATATATATAAAAATTGTATAATAGTAATACAATTGTAATAGTAATATAATTGTTTGTCATTATCAAAAGCTGAAATGTTTACCTTGTTTTATTTAGAATATGTACAACTCAATATTTTACCATTAAAATCTGAATAATCTAATCAAAGCCTACTGATTAACCAGTTAAAAAACTGACTATCAACTGTTTAAATAATCATTAGATTAACTGATTATCAAACTAATAATTTGTTGCAGTCCTATTATGAACCTGAACACACTTGTGACCATGATCCTAAAACACTTATGGCCAAAAGCGCAGGACTCTGAGATCTTCAGCTTGACTTCACGACTCTTACCGTTGGGGAAGGCGAGTACGCTGATGACCAAGAAGAAGGAGATGACCAGGATGAGACCCACCCACAGGTTACTGTCAGGGTTTCCATCATCTCTGCAACGGAAACATGCGGTCACACACTGTTTCTATTCCACCACAGTTTCACAATTCACTACAGAAGATGCAGTCAGAGAATGAATACTTGTGATTACACAGCAGAAAAATAGGTTCTTGACATTTTGAAAATATAAATAATGTATTTCCTATTGATGATGCTGCTATAAGAGTCTGGAACTGACAGCATGGGAACTACCACTTTTGTTTTCACCCAAGCAAACACATCGTTGGCTGATGACGATAATCACAAAATGGACTCATTTTATTACTGTATTTTAAAGTGTAACTGTAAGACAGACTTGATATCTGCTCTTCACTGGATTGTAAAAAGTGAGCAGTGCATACTGGACTGGAGACAGATGTGCATGCAAAAATAAAAACTTTAAATAAAAATAAAAAATATACAAAAAATAGCAAAAATAAATAAATAAATAAAACCAATAAAATTAGAAAGATACAAACTGATAAAAAAAATTATAAAAATAGAAAATAAAAAATGTTCTACTTAAACAGAAATGAGAAAGAATTCTATTTCTTTCTACTTTAACCCTATTGTCGCGGGTTGTTTTTCACGTACGCGGGTTGAAGCGACTCCAATAACGTGATAATTAGCCCCTGGGTAACCCTGCCAAAAAAATGTGTATTTTACCCCTCGGAATGCGATTTTTAATGGGGGACCCCCCCCCGGTTGGAACAGCAGTTACGCTAATTATGTCTCTATTTGTTTCTCTGTTTTTGCCACGGGATTGACATCCTGTGGTAACTAGGATTTACACAAGCTTCAGTCTGGATCCAGAACACCTGAGAAGAGATGATGCCAACCCCTCAGAGGACCTCAGATGATGCCAACCCTGAAACCACATACAGAACTACCACATTTGCTATAAGTTTGATTGCTTCATAAAATAATTGCTGTTAATAGTGTTCATCGTCTGTTTTATTACGTCTTAAATAGATTTTTCCGTACATTTCTGCCATATGTACATTAACTGACAGTCACCACTGATAAGCTACCACTAAATATTGTAGAAACTTAATTTGCTGTAAAGTTGCTTTGCAACGATTTGTATCGTGAAAAGCACTATACAAATAAACTTGAATTGAATTGAATTGAACTGTTCAGGGGGCCCAGAAACTGTAGCGGCGCCGCTGACCGCGAATACCTATTTTATTCCATGTTTTAGATCTTATACAGTAAAAGTCAAAAGCCATTTTACTGGTTATGAAAAAAGTCATTTCTGTTTTGTCAATAACATACAGCAGCTGTGAAAATAGTCATTTTTTACCCATCAACAAAAGTAAGAAAAATCTAGCTTAATTAGCTATATGGACCCTTTTCACATTTCCGGGTTTCTCAGCAGCGTAAGTCGTCATAGCTGGGTTAACTTCAAGAGCAGTGAATGGGAGAGTACCACAAATGTATTTTTTGCATTCCCATTTGCTCAAATAGCAAAAGAAAAACTCCACGATAGTGTTTTCATGACTTTCAATAAAAAAAATTGAGAGACTGATAACGGCAGTGAGAAGTGAGTACGATGTCAAATTTACCGTCCCTCCCAGAGACAATGCATTAGAAACACAGCATTAGTGTTAACTAGTTTTTTTGTAATTTGATGCAAAGGTGATATAATACAAAGTATAGTGTTATAAATATACATACATTTAAAAAAAATTAAGATATAAAAAGCTTTCGAGGATTTACGATGCTGATGACCATTAAACGAGTCATCACAGTCTCGTGAAAAGGGTCCATTTATCTGTTTCTTAAAATTACAAACAAAAATCAAACTGTTTCTCATTTCTCTTTTTAATTATAAAATCAAATGACCAGAAGGTACAGGGAACATGATTAACTTACACGCTGCCTTTAATGAAAAAAAAAAAAGAATATAAACAGCCAGTAGTCTTTAGTTTACTTAACACACATGATGCATGATTTGTTACTTCAACTTCGGATTATAGAAATCGCTGGTCGTTCTGAACAGCATTGCATCGAATAAAACTGAACACGCCCCTGAGTACGCGGTGACGTCATCAAAAAAAAAAAAAAATTTTTCCCGGAAGTGAAAGACCGTAGAAGATCCGCTAAGATCGTAGTTGACACCTAATGGCACAACAAACACGCACTAAAAGCCATAGAATTCAGATTTAGATAGCATGATTACTATATGAAATGGAGCCGCGCGATCATTTGTTGCTATAGTAACATATGCCGTCATTGCGGTTCTTTGTGTGACATTGTGGTTGTGCGTCACTCACCGCGTAAACGCGAAGTACATGAGGCTGAGCACGGTGCATGTGAGCAGGCTGATGGTGTGAGGCTTGTAGAAGAAGTCGATGGTGATGTCCTCCACCTGCTGCTCGTTGATCATGCGGAAATGCATCCTGTAGTTCACATCATCTTTACTCAGGGTCCTGGAGCCGAACGCGGACGCCATGCTTTTTTCCTCTCCGTCCTGGCTTCACCTTTGATTTACCGTGATGTTAGAAGCTCTCTCTCCCTCTCTGGCGTCTGCGGCACGAATGCAACCCGGATGACGGCCATGCATGTGTGCAATCCGGCTCCTAATGCATGCACAACACAATCAGCTGCTCGGGGAGAGAGATGCATGCACGGAGCGGAAAGATTGCACACGCATTAGGGGAAAACAGACCATTCCTGCATTTTCATTGGTTTGTATGCAGTGCTAGGCGTGCAGCCGGTATGGCAAGCCGAAAGGGTCAAAACGTGCAGCGGTGCTCGAGTTTCTCACGCGCTGAAGGTCACGCTGTTGTGTTGAGTGTCATTTACACCAACAGTAGCAAACGTGGCATTGCGCTTTCCTCAATCACACAGTGGCCCCAAAAAGTAGACAAAAGTGCACTCGATTTATTTATTTTTTTTTAAGTTTGTACATAAAATTAGCACTTTTGGCAAAATATCATTACAATTATCTCCAGTTGCATGAGTGTTTTATTTTGACCGGAAAGGGTTGCGGCAATATCTCTCATTTCAAACCAACCATCTTTTTCTCAAATGTTTTGTTTGTAAGTGTGTTTCTTTACGATAAATAATTTGATATTTGTATCTAATGCAATGGCATTCGTGCATTAAGCATGACTGAAATGTCCAAATACATTTGGAGTGCTTTATAGCTATTTATTTTTGATTGTGGTAAAGGGTAGCTATATTTGGTGTTGCATAAAATTCTGCAAACCACTAGACATACATGTAAAGTATTGTGTGCCATGAGAATCTGAAGAGTTTATTTGCAAAAACAGATAACTCCGTTTTTATTCATTTTCATAAATCGTGTTTTTTGTGTGTTATCGTGTTTTTATTGTGTTAGTTAGCTTTATTTTTTTTAGCTATTATTATTTAATCAAAACAACCCAACTGCAGTTTGATTGATATTAATTGGAGTGCAGGGTAAAAAAGAACATTATTTTTGAGTTATCTGTTGTTGCAAATGAACTGTTCATGTGTTGTGGTTGGTTTTTGTATTTGAACACCTCCTGAACGTCACACATCTTCATGGTCAGCAGCAGCTGCGGGTTTTACTAAAGAACTCACTCACAAACACGAGTCACGCCAGCAAATGTGTTTCACTGCAAGATGTTATGCATGCTTGTACTGTCAGTATGATGATGTTAAACTTATCACTAAAGCAACAAAAATAATAAATCATTAATTTGCAATTAAAACTAAATGGTCTATATATATATATAATATAGTGTATATATATATATATATATATATATATATATATATATTAGTGCTGTCACATTTATTATGTGTATATATAAATACACACAATATATATTTTGAAAATATTTACGTTTATATTTGAAGAGTTTATTTGCAAAAACAGATAACTTTTTTATTTTATTTTCAAAAATCATGTTTTTTATAATGTTATCATGTTTTTATTGTGTTAGTTAGCTGTTTTTTTTAGTTATTTTTTAGTTTAATCAAAATAACCCAACTGCGATTTGTTTGTATTTATATATAGTTCACACATTATGTAAACAAAAACTTTATTTTGGATGTGATTAATCGTTTGATATATATATATATATATATATATAAAATATAAAATACAGTAGCTTGACTGATTGCTATCCAGTATTGCACAAACAGATGATGAGAGGTAAACAGTACTCAGTACTTTAATAGTGAGCAAATGCAAAACTTGTGGCACATTTACATTTATGCATTTGGCAAACATGTTTATACAGCAATTTACAGTGCATTCATGCTAAACATTTGATCTATTCACACCCAGGGAATCAAACCCATGACCCTGACACTGCAGCACCAGATGAGCTACAGAAAAAGGCATTAAACAAGCATTTATATACACATTCAATTCAGATGTCATTACTCGATCTCACCTGTCTGATCAAACCTCTTGCCTGATGGTGATCAAGGGCTGCGTTGAAACAAAGACAAATAAAAGAGATTTCAGTGCGTTTGAACATTGTTCAGCATGTTTTGTTGTTTTCAAACAGAATGTTAAATTACCAGAGTGTTAAAGTGAGATCAGCACACGGCTTTACTCTCCCAATAGATCAGAATCAGAGCCAGAATCAACTCCAACCCACACAACACACCGATCACCAGCTTCAGCCCCACAAGCATGTTTCTCTGGAGAAAAACATGTTAATCAATAACAATATCAACAATCACAACATCAGTTCAGTGTGTCCAAATGCCTGTTTGCTATAACGTACCCTTGTGTTGTATTCTGGGCTGTTATACTGTAAAATCAAATCAATGAATGAGATGTATGGACATTGCTGCAACTCTGGCTTCAATAAGTTATGAAGTTATGAACAATCACAAATTACCCAATCCCAACTTCCTTCATTTAAAAACGGACAGAGAACTATAGCTGCGATTGACCAGAAAAGGCTGATAATGTTGAATATGAAGGACAGCTTCACCTTTCAGAACAAGAACAAGATAAATCATTAAATTCCGTTTCGGTCATGATTTAAAAAAAAATAAAAAGATTATGAATATTTGGTCACTCACCACAGGCATGAATGGAGAATTTCCAGCTGCAAATGTTAGAATGCCACTTGCAATGAACTGAAAATAAATGGTTAAAACACAGATATAGTATCATCTTGAATGTTCAGAGACTGTCTGAGAGATGTGTGTGTGTGTGTTTACACTGATAAATGCAGACAGGATCTCTGTGTTCTCACCAGGGCACTAGGTAGGGTGTACACTAGATGGGACAGACCGTATTCAAGAGTAATGAGGCTGCCGATGCAAATGACAAACACTCCGATGCTGAGCTGAGCCGCCTGAAACAACATAACAGCCAGATAAATAATAACAAAACTGTCTGAGATCACGATATGTGTTCCATGATAAACCTGGATAAATTGTTCCATATGGCAAAAATATGTATTTTTAAAAATATTTAAAAATATACAAAAAATGGCCAAAAATATTTTTGCTAATATGTTCCAAAATATATTTATGTAAATGTATTTTCTACTAATATCACTTTGGTCACTTTTTGTATATTTAAAAAAAAATATATTTAAAAAATATGAATATACATATATATATATATATATATATATATATATATATATATATAGAGAGAGTATATATATTTTTT